TGCTCTGTTTTTCTGTGTCATAAACCCTAAATGGGAGCTCACAGAGGAGGATGATGAGATGTTTGGGCCGGTTTGGTTGCTGGTTTGAATCCTGGCCCTGCTCTGAGCAGACTGGCAGACTTTTAAATGGACTCCCCATGCTCCGCTCCCCAGACGAGGGCGGGATGAGCCAGGTCTCGTCCTCGGACAGCCTGAGCGGCCGGCCGGTCAGCAGCGACTCTGGCCGCGAGCCGGACGGCCCCCCGGGGCTGAGCGCGCCCCCCCCGCCGGCGGGGCCCCGCCTCAGCCCCGACAGGAGGGGCTCCGGCCCGGGGCCCGCCGTGGCCCGCAGGAAGAGCTCCGACGCCGGCCGGGAGAGGAGGTCCAGCAGCTCACTGTCCGGCAAGCACACGCCCCCGTCACCGGTCAACGGCTGCGTCCTCAGGCGAGTCCACTTCCTCTGGTTCTGCTTTTTCTGCTTCTCCTTCTGACTGCTTTTTCTGCTTTTTCTTCAGTTTTTTCTGCTTCTTTTTCTGATTCTGCTTTTTCTTCTTCTTCTCCTTCGTATTCTGATTCTGATTATTCTTCTTCTTCTGCTTCTTATTCTGCTTCTTATTCTGCTTTTTCTTCTTCTTCTCCTTCTTCTTCTCCTTCTGATTCTGATTCTGATTATTCTTCTTCTGCTTTTTTTCTGTTTTTTCTGTTTCTTTTTCTGCGTCTGATTATTCTGCTTCTTCATATTTTTTAGGACAGAGTTTTAGGGCCACATTAGAATCATTGTTTAATACCTTACGAGATTAAAGTCATTATTAAATATGGAATTAAGCCCCCTGATTGGCTGATACCTGCAGTCGACCACTTGCAGCCATTTTTCCTCCACAAAAGCAGTCCGCCTGTTTTTTTCTGAAAAAGATATATTTTCCAGCTTGTACTTTTTACCGTCCTGATACTTCTGACCATCTGAGTCTGATGGGCCAAAAGATGAAGCGTGCCCTTGTTTGTGAAACCTGTTCTGAACATACATCTCCACAAACTTCAACTTTCATGACCCTCATTTGATCCAACTCTTGTCTTTCTAACACAGGATACAATATTTACAACTTTATTCTTGGAATTTATTTTTTTTACACTTAAAAAAAAAAAAAGTGTCCCTAATACTCTGTCTTATTTTCTGAGTGACATTTCAGTACAAAGACCTTTCTCTGGGCGGCGTGTTGGGTTTGGCATGGCGGGGTCTTTCTTATGTTTGGTAGTGTGAAGTAGTGATGTGTCCCTTCGTATCGAGGCTTCGAAGCGCGTGTCGAGAAATCCCGGATGATTTCTGTGAAGCGCGTATCGAAGCTTGTGTCGGTGACGTATGCGGTGACGTTTGAAGCCTCGCGAACCGGCCGTACCACGTGACTGATTCAGGAAGTGGTTCGCGGTTTGGCGGTCTATTCGAAAAATAAGGGCCAGCAAAACGCAATGAATCCCCCCCCTCACATTTTGTGGACTTGGGACTTAATTACGAGTTTTTGAGCAATCTATTCAAGCCTCCCTGTCATTGTATCATAAAGACAGACATCATCTAAAAGTTTATAATTCATGTAAAAGCATCACAGACATCCATCCGTCCATTATGCTAACCGCCGATCCCCTAATGGCGTGGGGGGGGGACTGGAGCCAATGGGGAG